ACAAGAGTGTTCCACAAGAGTGTCTTCTAAGAGTGTCCCACAAGAGTGTCCTACAAGAGTGTTCCACAAGAGTGTCTTCTAAGAGTGTCCCACAAGAGTGTCCTACAAGAGTGTCCTAATGACATGACCTATAGGATATTTTTCTTCACTTCCGTTGTGTGTGTGTGTGTCTCATATACTTCTTGTCGATGCAGGCGAACCACAACAACGCACGGTCTTGCACTCCTATTCACAAGAAGATCAGACGCCGCAATTGTGGATTTCTCTGTATTATGTGGACGGTTATCATTTTCAAGTGCTTATTTTCGAGATTTTGGGACAATGCCATTGTTTCTTTCGTGCCGCGGATCTGCCAGACCCTTTACGCCAGTGCTTGATTTGAATGCAAAACAAAAATCCTTCATGATGAAGACAGAGCTTGGTGGTGAAGTCCCCAGCGCATGCTGCCTTGGTGGTGGAGTCCCCAGCGCATGATGTCCAACAACGTGTCAGAGAGTGAAAAAGAGATTCCCACCGGCTGTGTCTCTTTTTATACACAGTGGTTTGACGTATGTGTTTGCATTCGGGTTCGTGGGCTCCATCTTGTTTATGGGTTGACCATGGTTGACCAATGACCAAGGGAGCCCCAATCTATTTTGGGCTCTTTCAAGAGGTCTCTTGGAAAAATACCCAGTTCAATACATATAGTGCTCGCTTCAACATCACAATGAACCCAGAATCGGTTTCTGAGTTTTGGTGACTGGGGAAATCGGAGGCCAGGCAATACCGATGAGGAGGATTTGAACCATTCAGCTGTAAGTTCAGAGTTGCTGTGTCTGGGGCATCTGCAGTGCCAGAAATCTCTGAGTGTCCAGTGTCAAGGTCGGTGCGTTTCTTTAATGACCATCCCAAGCAAAGGCCTCAACATACGGTTGTCCCCCGTTCTACTGTCTTTCAACAAGTATTAAAGCACATAAACGTGTGTGTGTGTGCGTCTTTGTCGTGCTCTCCAACATCACCCAGTGCTGAGCTCGTGTTTCCTGGGGTGAACTCCCCGTAATTATTTAGAATCGGACACTCCGTGAACAAATGCAGAGATCCCTCTTGATCCTTCCCACTCAACCCCGCTTCCCCCATGCCATCTACCATCTCCGACGCCAACGGCCAACTCCTCCGATCTCCAAGTGGCCGATCTTTTCAGCTCCTCAACCATCTTTGTGGCGTTCCCGATGACTCTGTTCACCTGCAAATGCTGCAGAATGCTGCAATTTCGCATGAACGATTCATTTTTTGAATGGCGATGCTTGACATAGCGTAAAAAACGTCTGTGCAGTGATATGCAACCAATCACACAAAATCTAAAAATGTCTGAATCTGTTCCAAAGTTGGCTACGCCTCACTCAAGCGTATCATCTCAAATTATGTATACAAGCCCTTTCCACATATCTATATACTAGACATCTATAAGCACTCTTCTGAAAAAAAGCCTTTTGCGCTGCGGCAGCAAAAAGCATGGTCTGCTCGAACATGCATTACGTCCAAGTTCAGTCACATGCGGTCATATACTTACATATGATCATATGAGCACTGAACATGTACGTACCTGTTCTTCAATAGAACTCGGAATGAACCCTATATGTTGCCCAATCGCAAGGAAAAGGCTTGGCTTGAAAGCTGGGCCAAGCATTCACAGAAAAATGACTTGATGCAAGGACTGAACGCCAACCCATGGGCAGGGTTCCAATGTTTTGGTGGGCACTGGGCCTTCCTGCAGGATTGGTGTGAATACGGCTGGAGGATGCTGGGAGTTCCAAGTTCGAGCTGTGAAATTCGCCCAGCTCACAACACTCAAACGCACAACCCGCTGCTCAACGTGTGTGAAAAGCTCGGTCCTGACTTGGACCTCTAAAGGAAGCAACAAGACCAACAAAAACACTGGCTCTGCTCCAAATCCTGTCAGTCAAGAGTTAAGTTATATATATATATGTATAGTTATATCATACGATTTTAAAGAAAAGGCTGTGCACATCTTACACCTTTATCGTGTATTCACCTGGACTTGCCGACTTGCCGCACTGTACCAACTTCGCCAACCTTTTCGATGTGCCACCCAAATTGTGTTCCAACACAAAACCAGAAGGTTACAGGTTACCCCCCCAAAGATAGAAGAATCTGTGTTCCAACAAAAACCATGAGTCCCATGAGCTTTACTTACACTCCATCCTTCTCGCCTCCAAACCTCCGAGAAAAAGAAACAAACACACAGAACACAGAAAGAAAGAGAGAGAGAGAGAGAGAGACGCCCTTCCGTTGCGTCTCCGCCCGCTCCGCTCACGCTCCGCGAAACCGCTCCGCGGGAACCGGGCCGGTCCTCGATGATCCGGTCTCTCCGTTGCAGCGCCTGGAGCGTGTCGGTCGGTGTTTCTTCGGTTGAGCCGAACTGGAAACAAGACCGACCCACGAAAAAGAGCCGGCCAAAGGCGAAATGACATGAGAACGAAAGTGGAGCACCATGTCACCATGTCTTTATTTTTATCAGAGTGAATTGGAATACTTTGAAGCTGACACTGTCAAAAGAAAACAAATAGTGAACTGAATGGTCCACATAAACCAATGACAGGCGTTTTGCTTCTGCACCACTGCACCACACTCCGCCACACTCCCTGCCTTCAAGGGCTTTTGGGCGCTCCACCGGGCCGCAGGGCCGTCGGGAATCACCTGTGATCTGGTCGGCGGTTCGACGACCCGGTTCACAGCGTCTCCGCACCTCCGTCGACTGGAAATGTGCTTGACATATGTTTTAACAGGACAAACATGTGGAACATCCAATGTGTTTACATGTCCATGGTTGAAGTCCAAAAAATAGATGGAACATGATGGAACTCACTTTTTGTTGCAGCCCTGTGCACGAAAACAACCGCAGCATCACGACCCAGGAAGTCGACAAAAAAGGACCGTCCGACAGTCCGACAGTCGGACTGTCTCAGTGCATGCACGAAAGAAAAGGCCCGGCGCGCGAATTGGTCACCAAGAAGAGGTCGAATAAGTTTCCCGAAAAAACAAGACACATCTCCAAAATATCTGCAGTGTTTTGCATTTCACAAGCCGCGTGGGCCAATCTGTCGAGAGTCTTTGCTGGAGGCTGCTTCAACATTGGGTCCCACCCGAGTGAACCTTATCCACTTCAAGGTAGTCTTTGCGGAGGGACAAATCCTCAGACGGTGGTGGAGAACGGGAAGATCTGGGCGGGGGCTATCATGTGGAAAATTGGCACACATGCAAAGTTGCTAAGGGAGGTGGTTACTGGGTGGACAAGGACAACTCGTCGTCCATTCTGGCTATGGCATCGGCTTCGAAAGTATGCTCGGCATTCTCCGTGTTTTTTGGTCTGGATCTGTTACTCTTCGTCACTGACAAATAATGACAAGTCACAAAGCCACTCTCATCAGCTGTTAGATACTTATCAACATTAACTGCGACTATTGCTGTGACTATCAATACGATGTCACTTATCATCAAACTTTCACGAAGCCACTATATATCTCCAAAAGACTAATATGTGGTTCCACAAATAGACAGAAACGGCTTCCAATACATGTTCAAGGGGTTGTACGTTTCTATCTATCTGGGGTCTATCACTGGGTCTATCTATATATATATATAATTGTATATATTGTACGTGGGAACTACGATAGCTGTCCGTGAGATGGATGCCCTCACGAGGAAGAGGTCATGGAACGTACATCATGGAACGTGAGGCCAAAATGTCAATAGATGAGTCATGATGAGTCTGTTTTAATTGATTTCAGGTGGATCCGGTACATACTGGTATGATCTTATATTCTTATATGTAAAGAGCCAAAGAGCCGCTTGCCGTATTGGAAACAAGGAATCCACAAAAATCCATAAGCCTTCAAGTGTTTTCTCGTTTCCACCATGGCACGCAAAGCCCCGTTTCGCTGTTGAGACCCGCGCCAAGCCCACTTTCTCGTGGAGATCCTGTGCCAAAATGACCGTGGCTTGGGGATTTGGATTGTCTTGAAGAACGACTAAGAACGTGCAGGTTTCGTTAATTGATTTCAATGGCTTCAAAACGTTGGATGTTAAGTCCAATCAGTGCAAAGTGCAAATGAGGAAGAAAAGATGTACGTGAGTGTGTTTTGGAAAGTCATAACGCCCTTTTGCAAAGACACCTGACGAAAAGGCTCCAAATTGTTCTGACGCCAGCAAGCACAACGTGATTTGGACAGCAAACATCACCAACACAAACATACAAAAACACGTCGATTATCGCCGTCATGCGACTCGATCAGCAAACACCGCAGAGACTGCGCTCACTCCACTCCTTGCATCATCCCCTGTACGCCTCCAAAGGGGGGAAACATCTACCACAATCTCACGATCTCATCGCTTAGGTGAACCATAATATACTAAATATATCCCAGACACTCCATGTATGCCATATATGCCTACATTGACCCCCAAAACCACCCCAACTGATCGGCATATACGGCATACATGGAGTGTTTGGGTATTATAAACAGCTATGCCCAAAAGGAGCGAACCAACACGGAGCGCTTAATAGATCTCCTCTGGCTGGCTTAACGGCACATCGACATCCACCTTCACTGGCGCTGAAACCCACTTCGCTGGCGTCCTTCTTGGTGAAGTCCACGCGGAAGAATAGAGCGGGATGCTCCAAATGTTGCAGGTACTCTTCAGACAACTCAGGCCTCTTGGGCTCCTGGAAGCCGCGAGGCAAGGCCGGGTTGCGGCTGGCGGTGAGCGAGCGGACATGGGGGTGGTCAACATGAAGGTCGACCCACACCGTCGAGAGGCGGTGGTTCAGCCGTCGTACAGCAAATTGAACTCTGACGAACACGAGCACATGGAAGTGGATGGCACGGTCCCTTGGAAGACGTTCCTTTACGAACAGGTGGTCCCACTTCCGAACGTTCACGTGTGTTCGTGTCAACGACTTGATCGTCCCACATCCCGTCCGCTGGGCAAAGCAGCGCATTGAATTGCCTGCAGCGCTCCGCAAAGCGGGCGGCCGGCCATTGATGACTCCCTTTTTGGGTGGTTTCAGAGTCGATGGCACAATCCCCACGTTAGGAGGTCTATATGTTAATATATGGACCCCCATCTAAATGACATCCAGGGGTGCAAACATGCCATCGAACCTCTGAAACCACTGCATCCTAGGCCACCAAAAGCCCGAGCATGGCATCCACCTGGCTGGAACATACATGCCTGCGGTGTCGAATTGCGCGGGAAGATAAAGCATCAACACCGGGTGTCATTAACCATAAGAGTACCTATGTACATAGGTTAATATGATGAATATAATCAATTAATCCATTCTATGCAAATAATATCAACATATAATATATCAACACACCCGCAAAAGAACATGGAAGCAGCACCACCGAACTTGCTCCGCACCACCACCAGGCAGCTTTGCCCGCACCTCAGGGCTTGCCGCCATCCTCTTGGCAGGTTTCGCGCCACATCCTGGTTTGAGACTGCTGAATGACCCGGAAAGAAGTTGTTGTTATTTTTTGAGTGCTAATTGTTGGTGCCAAGGGCAGCGTTGCTGTGAGGTAGGACTCTGCCCAAATCCACACGGGGGTTGACTCTCCAAAGAATCCATGTCATGTTTTTCCTGCACCATCCTTGGTACAAATAAATTACGGGTGTCCAATTATAGCTCCTTAGAGGTTTAGGGACGTCCATTCACCAACCCTATCCGGGGGCCCTGGTGTGTGGTACTCATGTTGGTACTCGTTTTGGTGTCTTTTTCTTACGGGCGCAGGTGGATGATGGGCTGTGCCGTTGTGCCGTTTTCTGTGGCCACTGTGCCGTGTCAGATGTAAGCTCGGACCGGGCCTCTAAAGGTAAGGCACAAGCGCACAAGCAATCACGATTGATGAAGGGCAGTAGGTAGTTTGTTTGCAACTGGTTGTGATATATAATTAGTTTGGAGTTCTTGAGATTTTGATAAGTTGTCAGCTGATTTCTCTCACCAAAACGACTTCGAGTGTCATGTCGCCAGTCGCGGATGTACATTGACGCACTAGTCAACGGGATGGACATGGCCACAAGCTGCGTATTTTATTGTTGTTCGGGAGTTGTCTCCCAGATAGGCATGGGGGAACTCTGTGACTTTGCCACAAAAGAAACGCTAGCCAAGCATGGTGGTAGAAACATGCATATGTCACTAAGTATCTTCTTGGGAAATCCGCAAGTCCGACGGTGCCTGAGCGGGTGGTTAGTGTGTAAATTCTGCAGGGCCAGTTTAGTAAATGGGAGTGAGCATATTCTTTGTCATGATAACGGAAAACAAACAACTCGAAGTAGAAATAAACAGTACAGAAGGTTTGGAGTGGCTGAAGTTGGATACCTACTTCCCTGATGCCATGATCCTTTTTCCCAGTACGACATATCAAAACCCATCGTAAATCCAGCGGGAACATACCCAGTTCCATCTTCATTCCTCCAATCAAGCTCCGTTGGACTGCTCACCCCATGCACTGAGTAGCTGCGTGCACCGACCAAACCCGATCGCCTCAAGGACTCTGCAGTAAAAGCCTTCGCAGAACCGGCCGAAGAGCAGAACCAGAAGTAGCCGCAGCGAACGTGCCATGGCGAAAGACGAGGACCACCACGGTGCCAGGAGCGTTGGTTCCGCGTGACCACCACGATCAGTGGCTGTTCAGTCGGTGTCTTCGGCGGACCACCACGACGTGTGTTCTGAGGGAAGATCTCGTCTGCTTGTTTAGTTGTCTAATTTACGTGAAGCAAATCTACCCAATCTGAGGATTCTTTGAAGATGGCAGACTGGAGTAACAAGTTGTCAATGAAAATTGAATCAAGGGTTGATAGCTTTGGGGTTGGGTCAAGTATCCAAACCTCGGGTGTATTGCCGTAAGGTTCCATGGTAGTTTGGCCGTGCTTATGAGGATTCTCATCAAAATAACTTCTGGAGCTGGTAGGTTGATGGTTTCTAGGTCCATCTGTGTCTTCGATGGCGTTGATTCAGCTGTATAGCTGATTCACCATGGTCCGTTGGAAAGCACCGGTCACCGGTCTCACTGGCTAGTGGGTCTCAGTTCCCAAACACATTGGGATGTACTAAAGGTGCCTCGTCCAAACCAGCTCTGCTCTGCTCTGATCCAAACATGACGATCTGTGGTTCCGCAGAGGGCGCTTCAGCCCAGCGGTGAAGAGGTTAGTGTACGGTAGACCGGTTAAGAGGTGGAACACACAGGGTTGAGTCATGTTGAGTCCGTTGACGGTCGTTCTGGGGCCACTTGATTACACTCCTGAGGTCCTCGGTCGCTCGGTGGCTTTTCAGACCCGCGTCCACTGATTGAGCCAGGATAGTAGGCAGCTGGGCGCAGCTGGGCACAGGGGTGTCACTCTGACACAGACGGATTTCGTGGGCACGAAATTGGTGCGGTAGGAGGGTTGGAGGACGGGACGCAACGCCTCCCCCAAAGAACACACAAACCATTCCAAGAAGCCAGTGGAAGCCAGGCAACAGTAGCCAAGAGAAACTACTACCAAAAGGCAACTCACCAAAATTACTGGAAACTACTGAGAGCCAGCAGAATTGGAAGTGCTCCTTCGTGCTCTAAAGTTGAACCTTCTACTGGCCCACACAAAGGTATGTTCCAAGATGGAAATCCTCCTTCCTCCGCTCAAGTGTACCCTCGTGTGACCCACAAAAAGGCACACTCCAAGATGGAATCGCTCCGGCGGCCTGCACCATATACAAGTAAACTTGTCGATGAAACAAGTACCGTGGGAAACAACCAAGAAAAGCCACACCCCACAAAAGCAAAGCAGAAAAGGAAAAAACACACAGATAAGAGGGGAAAACGAAACAACCAAAACAATAGACACCAAAAACAACACCACTAACCAAGAGAAACGACAACCCCAAATACCACAGGAAAAGAACGGGAAAAACCAACACGCCCCACAAAACCGGAAAAAATAAAGCCACGCAGGTACCACAACTTGAAAGACAAACACGGACACACAGAAAAGTGACACAAAAGTCAAACAATGTCAGGAAGAAGGACGATGTAGTGCGACAAACTGAACATACAATCGACAAACACGTTCCGAAACGACCCCCTTTCCTGAAAAGGTCCCCCAAAATGCCACGTGACATGCGAATGTCAGATATTGGGTTGAAAAGCCCCAGTAAACTTCCCAAATGAATGAGGGGTTTGAATGATTGCCAGAGTCCTAGACTATATATGATATTGTTAATGTCATTTGTTATGAGACTCAAACAAGTCACTCAAGACTCAAGGCTCAAATCAAAATAAGCTGGACCAACATCTTGCTGACAGGGCCTTCCTCAGGGCCTTCGCGCCGCGCGATCAATCAATGTTCAATTTTCTGAATCTCATCGGCGATCAGTCTGGGAGCCTGGGTGGCGCCATCCTCTCCGGCTCAAATACCCAGAGCGCCCAAAAATTAAACACTACGACCAACCTGAGTGACCATAGATGACCACAGGACCTTCAAGAAGTGTTCCATGCTTAGACCCGAATTGTTTTCCGAATTGAATATCCGATGTTTATGCTTCCGATATTCTCTGGTGAACACACGGAACCCTCATGGAAATCATGGAAAGTCCCAGGCTTTCACCCAAATCCGGGTGATCTTCCCTGGCTTTCAGGCTGGACAGCTGGGAGCTCCAGCATGACTTACGGCCGAAGTTCCTTCGGTGCGAAACCAAGTAACAGCAGTAGGCCCGTCTTTGGCCGTAGGTCTTTGGCCGTCTTCAGAATGTGTGTGTGTGGGTTTCACGATTTGTGAAACTCGAAAAGAAATTATTCGGCATAGCAGCAGACCTATTTGGCTCACGGACGGTGTTCTCTGAAATTTCAAGCATGGACATGTGCAAAGAGCTCCCCCAACCGCTCACTTTTCAATTCTAATATGCCTCCCGCACTCACCTCTTGGACATTCAGGAATATATCATTACCTCTTCCCAGAATGGAGTCTTCCAATAGGTGAATCGAGACCCCCCCGAACCTCGGCACGAATCGGGCATCCTGAAACCATCGATGGGATCGACGGGACCGCCCTTGACAATGCCGGGAGTCTTCGACTTACGAGTGGTTTCCCTATGAGAGGTTCTATGAAACATCAGCTCCTACGAGCATAGCAAACACTACATTCATCGGTCTCCATGCAAAACACATGCCAAGCCACATGTGCCTGGCCGTGTCATGCCATCTCAAACACCTTGACAATTGATCTAAAATATATATATATATATAACGGAATTGGATGTAGCATGATCTAGCACCTTTTGTCATGTCCTCCAGAATTTCGTCCAGCGCACGTGCGTGCCAAGGAACGCGCAAGCTGGACGTGTCGAGACTCGCACCAATTCACATTTGGAACTACCAAATCACATTCGCACCGTGCTTTCTGACCAATCGGGTTGTCTCTTCCCTCAACGAGTCGTGTTCGGTAGATAGGCGGGTCCCGGTCACTTCAGCGAACTTGGGCGAAGCATGGCCAAAAAATTAAAACAACAACAACAACAACAAGAACAACGCATGTGCTAGTGTCAGAGGAATCTGTAGCAAACATAAAGAAGAGAAAACAAGTTAAACATGCCCAGACTATCCATGTATGGATTATTTACCTACATTGACCCCTTTTCAACCACCCCCAATGTAGGTAAATAGTAATGGTAAATAAGACATAATTCCAACATCAAGGGATTGCCAAATTCAGCATAAATTCTGGCCAGCAACCAAAAAAACAGTTGTTCGGAACATTCAGGTCCTGCTGCTTGCCAAAGGCATAACTTTTGTTAGATCTCTGCTCGCTGTGCACGTCAGGTTTTTTGCGCCGCCTGCGATTGGACCCAGGTGTACCCAGGTTCACAAGTCTAGTCCAGGTGGAAGTGGCTGTAAGAGTTCACACGGAGCCCAAACCATAGAGCGCAGTCCATATGGCTGTGGGTCACGGCACCCTACCTTGGTTGAGCTACCTGGAAGGTCGAGGCTTCCAGGTAGCTCAACTCCATCATATCGCCACGCATGCTGATAGGAGCAAAGAAACGACCGGTAAACTGCCGGCTGTTGTGACCAAGTACAGTAATTGCCACCATCTTACTGCTGCCAATATCAATCCCCTCATGTGACAAAGCTGCCAACCTGTTGTTGAGAAAAACATGAGTTCTTCCGAAAAGTGTCAGATTAATTACAGTAAACCTGAAAAACAATGAAACACACCTGTGTCACACATGTTTATGACCCACGGACTGAATTGTTTCCTCAACAATTGCTGGAGGCAAAAACCTTGCATGTGGCTCCTTCCACTTTGATCCACAAAAGTTGATCCCGCAGTCCGCAGGGATACCCTTGGCATTCTAGGCTTTATACGACTGGGTCTGAGGGTCTTGGCTTTTTTGCGATTTCATCACTCTGATGCTCATTGTCATGTATGCTGCCCCTTTGTTGCGTTTGCTGCAATTCAGAGGAATGACATGATGTGATCGAGCATCGTTTGAAAAAACACCATCGTCTCCCGCCGGCCCCCGATGTCCACGATGTCGTTCTCTCGAGTGGTTCCACTCGGGTGGCGGTCCGACCAAGAGAGACACCCCAGTCGAAGCACGATCACGATTCACCAGTTCGCAATGGAGGGACTCTGCGAAACCATAAGCATGAAGTCCTAACAGGATCTGCCAGTAACAGTAATCCTGGCATATGCCACTAACAGTCCATGACAAACGGTCCAGGATCCGCTGGAAAAAACGGTGGCTTGGCAACGGGCGGTTTCTCGCTGCTGTTTCTTGCTTGTCCATATCGCCTGACCCATATCGGTCCATGCCAAGTATCATGCGTCGTTGCCTCGTTTGCCTTATGTTCTTTGAACTGAAACGTTGTTGCCCTCACCCGAACCATCAACTTCACACCAGTGCATGAGGGGTGCATGAGGTCGAATTGCAAACCAAAGCATCGGTCGAATTGCAAACAAAACCACACATTTTGGCCATGCCCTCATTCCAGTTTGAAAACCTACCCATCAAACCCAGGTTGTGTCTCAGAATCTTCCCAGCCAGAAAAGGCTCATACTACATACGATGAATCCTTATTGGTTGCGGGTCAATGTGTCATCCAATGTCCCCACTTCATCCACGCTGGCCACACATCGCTTCCGCATCGCTTTTCGGCGAACGCTCGCATCCGCTGGTGCCTGCCCAGCCAAACCTCGCTTCTCCAACAAACGCCGGGTGCGATCACGCCTCAGTTCCATGAGAGTGTCGCTTTGAGACACGGTGCAAACGAACAAAACGTTCCTGGGGGAACGAGGCGGTTTCCAAGTGAAGGGCATTTCAATTGAAAGAGCTGTAATGAAACAATTCCCCAAGACCATTGGAAATACAAAATCACCGCTCCAACATGGCCGATAGATGCCGATGGGCTTGATGGGGAGGTTTGTGGAGGAAAGCCACCTGTTGCAGGTATCCCCGCCACTGGTCCGGATCCTGGCTGTCCGCATGTTCTTGTGACCCAGGCGGGCCCCATTCACATGCAAATCAGGCTCTGAGATGGTTGAAACCAGCTTGCTCTTACATACACAAGTCTTCGGCTCCAGCCT